ATTCAATATATATATATATATATATATATTTATTTATTAGCTTATTCAATTTATATATATATATATATTAAATTTGAAAATGTAAAACATATTTTGAAAAAGTATTTTTTAAAAGAAAAAAACAGTATTTTAAGAAAGTAGTTTATGAAAGAAATAAAAATATATCTACAGAAATTATTTTCCGAAAATATATTTTTTTGAAAAAAAATATTTAAAATTTTTTTGAAGTAATAATAAAAAAATAAAAAAATATTATTAATTAATGAGATGTATATAAGAAATTTAAATATTTAAATTTTTTCCTGCGTCACCATTCAAATTTCAGCATGATTTTCAGAGCTGTGTGCATCTGATCAATCCACGTGTGAGTTTATGTGGCGTTAGATTGGTAAAACCATATCCAATCGTAGCCGTCGGACAGGATCTTCCTCTTTTATTTTTTCAAACGCTATATAAAGAGATCCCACACACAAACAACGATATCCCGTTGACTCCTTTTCGCTTCTCTGACTCAATTCTCTGTGTGCTGGAAAGAGAAAGAGAAAGAGAGCCAGAAACACACAAAACCATAGGTGCGTTTTTTTCTTCTTTCTTTTTTTACTATTTTATTTTCCTCCTTTGAATTATGGTTTGTCTAACCAGATTCTAGTTGCTTTACTCTGATTCTTTTACTGTCACTTCTTTGTCGTTTTTCTTTGTCTGTGACTTCGTTCTTCTCTATCGGTTATTGTAATTTTAAGGATATTGAAAGAGGGAAAATTGAGGTTTGATGTTTTTTTGGGTTCCTAGGTTTTTGAAAGTTTTAACTTGGATTGAATCGAACCATTGTGGATTCAAATTTTTCTTTTTCTTTTTTGAGGGTGTTGAATTGTGTGTTTTAAGTTGTTCATGGTTTAAATCATGCGATGGAATGGATATAGAGAATAACTGATAAACTTTAACTAACTCGTTACGTTTGGGGTTTCTTCAGCAAGTTTCTTGTGGGTTGTAGCATTTTTCTGTTTCTATCTTTTTCAACCTAGTCAAATTACTTCATTTGGGCAAAATTTGGGGATTGTAAATTAATTTTTAAATTTATTTTTTCTCTGAACCAAACCAGAAAAAAAAAAAAAGTTATTTTCCCTCTCTTTTTTTCAATCCAATAAATTTTTTAATTTTTCTCTTCCTCCCTTGTGCTTGTCTTCACTTCCATTACAAACCCTTGGGAATATTTTTTTGTCATGTATTTAGTGATTCAATTTATTTTTTGGGATATTTTGTTTTATTAGGGTTTTCTTTTGATTTTGTTTTTTCTAATTAATTTTATAAGTGCTTTTAATTTTGGGATCACAAATAATTTAAATATTTTTTTGATATAGATCAACAATATTCTCTGGGAGAGATAATTCTTTTGAGATAAATAAAATTTAAATATTTAAATTTAATAATTATAATTATTTTAAAATATATTTTAAGGTTTTGGCTAAGTATGACTCTTTGCATGATTATTTTTTCTAACCTTTACAATTTTTCTTCGAAGATTAATTTTATCCTAGGTGTTGGGATTTTTTTTTTCCAGCGCGTGTAATGTAGTTTGTTATTTTTTCTTTCGTCTTCTTTATAGATAAAATAAGTTGGTGTAGCTTAATAACATATACACTCACTCTGTTTGTATCCCTTTTAAAAATAAAATGGGTGTATATTTGTAAAAATTAAGTGGTGTATATTAGCAAATTCCTAGAAATAGTTATTTTAAAATAAACCAAATTTATATAAAAATATATGAACACATTTTTTCTTAATTATTTTTACAGTATTTATAGGTTCACTATCAACTATACGGTATCTCTGCTAGTTTTGCTAGAGCTATAGTGAATAGTGATGATGAGTTTTGGTTTAACCGATTTATTTTTATAATTTTTTTTAGTTTTAAAAGGCCTATCTCTATGATTAATTTATATTTAATAAAATAAAATTCACACTATTAACTACAGACACCTCCTACTGAGGTTTTTTCTCTTTAACATATGATTTTACTATTGTTCAAAGATTGGGATATTTTTTGTTTTGCTTTCAAAATTTGGCTGAGTTCAAAATTTCCCGCTAGAAACGTACTAATGGGTGTATAATATTTTTCGGACATGGGATTGACAATTTTCCTAGGTGAAGAGCCTAGGTTCCACAGGATCTTGTGGTCCATGCAGTGGGAACCCCTTAGAACTTGAGGGGGATGGGTTGAGTGCTACTGCGATGAGCTTTTGAAATAGTGAGTAATTTCAATCAAAATATTTTCTTTTTTTTAATTTATTAAATTCCAATTGCCTTATACTGTATAATGATGTGAAAACATGAATGTTTATGCAGATTAGTAATATATATATTTGCCTATGATTCATTTTGAATTCCATTTTATGGATATTGTTTTGTATAATCTCTATTTTAATTTTGTTTCTTCTGAGTTAAAAGGGACTAAGAACTTTCATTTGCTTGAATTGACTTCAGAGTTCAGATTCAATGCCAGTTAATATGAAGCCTAAGACAACTACAACCTGCAAAAAAGATGGGAGTTATCCTCATGTGTGTCAGACATCAATTAAAATATTTAAACAACCATGCCCCATGGTCAGATCAGATGCTAAAGAAAAGGAAAATTTAGCCATCTCATGTCAATCTTCTCTAAATGGCAAGTCTTAATACCTCCACACAACATATTGAAAGGATAGAAAAGTATTAAAGGCCAGCTATTATAACATTGATGCAGTTTTTTGCTTGGAATCTGACATTCATTTAGAACATACGGTGAAAGGAAAGCTTCTAATTATTTAATTGGACATGTTTTCTGTAGATTTTTTAAAAAATGAAGAATCTTGCAAGGATCATGACAATAAAGGAGACATGGGGATGCCTCATCTTCCATTCAATGGATGTACATATTCAGAAATAGCAATAGTAAGACTCAGATTCATCTCATGTCTTTGTCTATGTGATATGAAACATGATTATTGGTTCTTTTCAATAGAACTTGGTTACTTATATCCCTTGTATATAAAAATATTGAAAATATGAATACTTTCTTTGGTTTACATGACTTACTAATTACTATGATGGTTTGTTTATGGCAGGATTGTTTTCCCTCTGTTTCCTCAGGTTCAGAAATAATGTGGCCTGTTTATAATGATGAGCTTAATTATTCCCATTGTCACCTATCTGAAGGAGGTACCACCTGAAACCATACTGTTTAAAATATTCTTTTTTCTTTTTACTGTTAATATTGAGTAATCACCTTGTCTCTAATAACATTGTAGTTAATTGGGAAAACTTAAATTGGGCACTTGATATGGATGATAATCCCTTAACCACATGCCAAATGCCTAATGTGTTAGACTCCAATGCACATGAAACAAAGCAAAGTGGGTGTCCCAATATAATTGAGGACACTGAGGGCCACCGTTATGTTAACCTTTCTGCTCTTGTGCTTCCTGGCACTAAGGAGACAACTCCAATCATGGTGGAGGAGACAACAGGAACGGAAAATTACCATGATTATGGAGGGTTTCAACTTGAACAAATTTGTGATTCTTCATGGTTTGATCTCCTTTGCCATCAGGCCACTCCATTTCCGGAAAATATTCATATCAACTCCACCCAGCTTGATTCAGGCAGAGTAGATTTTTTTGATCAGGAGGCATTCTTTCTTAAAAATTGCTTCGATTTATCGGAAACTTCCGATGGCATATTGCCTGCATTAATAAGCCAGGAAACAGTCAGAAAGAAGGATGTTACCCTTGTTCTTGACTTGGATGGTAATTTTCTCTCACTTTTGCATCTTCACGTATACAAGTGAAATCTTTGTTATTGTTTCAATTTTTATGATTTGACTTTGATTCTTATTTATTCTTAAAATATATACATCTCTAATATATATACAGAGACGCTGATCCATTCTAGCATAGGGCAATGCAATGACGCTGACTTCACATTTGAAATGTACACGGAGAAGAAGAGCACAGTATATGTACGGAAGAGGCCATTCCTCCAAGAGTTTCTGGAGAAAGTATCTGAGATGTTCAAGATCATCATTTTCACAGCAAGCAAGAGAGTGTATGCTGAAAAATTGCTGGATGTTCTTGATCCTCATAACAAGTTTTTTTCTCGACGAGTATACCGAGAATCATGCACTTGGATAGATAATCGCTGCGTCAAGGATTTGACGATACTTGGAGTTGACCTCGAAAAAGTATTCATAATAGACAACTCTCCAGAGGTATATCAGTATTTCTTTCATGAAACAATACTTAGTGTTATATCAAGTACTACATTGTAGGTTGTAATACTAAATTTACATGTTGGCAACATCATTATTTTCCATGTAATCTAATTATTTGGGCGAATTTTATGTTGATTCTAGTAAATAGATTCTGGCCCCATTTTTATTTAATGAGACCCACATAAGATTTGCGTATGTCCAATAGAATGTATTGTGAGCATTTCAGTGATGAATTTCCTTAAAAAAAGCCACTTATATTATTAATTTTTGTGTTCTTTCAATACTCATGAACCCCCTATAGATTGTCTGTCTCTTTTGGAAAATGCTTTCTTCAGCTTAATAGAATTGTGTTGATATTATTTTTTACTTTCAATTTCAAACATACCCTCTAACATAAATTTATTAGAAATTACAAGATCATTAGTGTGACGAATTAAATAAGAAGTGAAACCTCCAAAATTTTGTGATTTTTAATAAATTGAAAGTGTCTTAAATAGCTCGTTACGAAGTGTTTTGCTAGGATTTCTCTTTCCAGAAAAGTTTCTTTTATTTATTTGGCTTTTTTTTAATGGTTTATGATACTGAAATTTGAAATGTGTTTTGATGATATGTACAGGTGTTCAGGTTTCAAGTTAATAACGGGATTCCTATTAAAAGCTGGTTTGACGACCCTACTGACTCTGCTCTCATTTCTTTGCTCCCCTTTCTGGAGAAACTGGTGGATGTTGATGATGTTCGTCCCATTATTGCACAGAAATATGGGGCAAGCTATTAATTTTGCATTCTTTGAAGCAGTACATAACTCTGATCTTAGGATTCTAGATCAACATAGCTACCCAATTTTCATAGAGAGAATTTACCTAGTTAGGTGGTTTTTTTTTTATATTTTTTGGGTTACCTAGCTAGATGCTGATTCTTTTTAAACAGTTTTGACTTTTGGTTATTTTTTACAAATGGCTATGATTCCACAGTAGCCAAATAACATTTATATTAAAGGGGAAAATTGTATATAAACATTAAGTTTCCAGTTTTGACTTATGTTAAAAGGTTTGTTATTGTCGCTGCCTTATATTATCATATTGATATAGGCCATGTTTATCATTTAGATTCTTGAATATCTGAAATTCTTTAGTTTATCTTTATTTTTTGTTATATAATATTTATATTTGTTTGTCTTTTATCTTTCTCAAGATGTCAAATAAGTCGTTAGGTTCGTAAAACTCACTTTAGTCCTTATAAACAATTGTTTTATAATTTTTTAATCAAAAGGGATTAGAAAATTAGATGCAACAAAGGGTGGGTAGTTGGTATAAACAATATTCAGTATATAAGCTCCTTAGCTATTATTTTTTAATGGGCTCATAAGTCGAGCACAAAATAAAGCAACATATAAAGCAACACAATTAATAAATAATAACAAGGAATGATGTCAAAAATGTTTTTTCTTCTTCTTTCTATTATATAAATAGTTTGGTTATATAGAACGTAGGATGGTAAAATTGTTATATCTGTAAATATTTGCAAATAAAATTCGTTATAAATAATAAAATGGTAGTTTAAAAAGATATTCGTAAAAAATAGATATAAATATTTTTTTTTTCTATTTATAATTGGGGTAGGATCAGGTAGGATAATATTTATATATGTGAATATCTGTTAAATAATATTATCTTTAATATTTTAATATACTTAATATCAAATATAAATTTAAATTATTTATAATTTTTTTTTTAAATTACAAATATCTATGAATATTAATAAATATTTATAAAATTTATAGATATTTACTTAACAAATATTCACACATATAAGATGAATATAGGACGAATTTTTAATTAATGGAGTGGATGAGTCCCTTACAACGTGTCTAAGGAGTCCCATTGTCATTCTAATAGGAGTTTTTATTTCCATCGTACTGGTTATTTTGATGAGATAAAGTTGTTACTTATCTTTTATTTTATCGTATATGAAATCCTGTGGTAGTGAACATAAAAGGTTGTTATAAGGAAATACATTTTTTTAGATAACACAGCTTTTCATGGAATTTGGTAGCTTGTATCTAGTTGACTTTTCCTTTTTGAATATCTTCACACATACACAATATGATAAAATAGAATATACCAAAAAAATTCAATCACATGTCTTTTTCTTTCTATCAACTTCAATTCTTGTATGTTCTATCATATCTGACTTTTTTCTTTCTATCATATTAGTTAGTCACTGTAATAAGATAAAGTTGTTATTTATCTTTCATTTTCTGGTACCTGAAATCTTATGACAAGTTTAGCATGTATGTTTCTCTTTTTCAGGGATCAAAATATCCGCTAATAAAAATATACCATAACAAAAAGCATATATATTTTTTTATCATTTTGTTTTTACATTATAGGGTGAAACCTCCAAACTAAAAATTTTGAAAGAAAGAAACAACAGAAATACTTGCTTAACAAAGTTATTTGAATTCCAATTATGGAGAATTAAAGGTTTGAACACTTTTTAACAAACTCAAACCCTACTTAATTAACACATTGATCACTTGATTGACCACTCCAAAAATATGTCTATAACTTATAAGAGAAATTTTCTGTGTCATGCTAACTATTTTATTGCAAAAGAAGTAATAAGCATGATTCCTATTACACTATTCATTTAAGAACTGAATTGTAGTGGCCAAATTTGAATATATATATATATACTTAAGAATATTATTATCCTTTGCAAGCTTAAGCCCATATAATAAATATCCCATAGCTTAGCTTGCACTACATTGATTTTACAAAAAAAAAGTCATAATAAAGGCGTTATTATTATCTCTAATGATGCCTTCACAAGTTGTTCCTTGTCTAACCACCATAACTCCATCAGGAGGAAACAACCAAGAAATGTGTTAGTTGGCAAGTTTAGTCATGGAAGGGGGTTCCATATCTAACGAGGAAGAAAAAGCAAAAGTGATTCCCAATTCTAACTCACACCTAAGCGACCACTCCTTCAACATTGGGACTAACATTGTTAAAAGCACATTATTTCACATGTGCCAAATGTTGTCAATAGTAACAACAAACATGATATCTCCTACTTTAACTAAATTATCTTTCAACTAGCTAGCTTAACCAATCCATTTTAAAAATTTCACTGAGAAGTCTTCCATTGGCAACTCTTTTCTAGATATTCTTTGCCATCATGTGGTCCCTAAAAGCATGTATCATTGTTTTAGACTCAATATGTCAAAGGACACATTGCATTGTTTGTCATTCTTTTATGCACACATTTCACTTGTTAAAAGACTATTGTGTGCAAGATGCTCGAGGAAAGTGTGGAGAAAAGATAAACACTAGAATAATTATATTTTGAAAATTTATTTAAAAAAGGATTTTATTTAAATTTAAAATTGATTTAATTTAATTCTGTGTAATTTATTTAGTTATATTTATATTTTTTTCCTATAATGTTTGTAAAGTTGCTATAGGGTATATCATTTTAATTTATTAATTTAATATATAAATTAATTTAAAATGTTTATTTTTTAATTTCATTCTGTATAATTTAGTTTATTTATATTTTATATAATGTATGAAATAATGTGTCGTTATATTTTGTTATAGATGACATCATCTTCTACAGCTATGCGTGTGACATGTGGACCCATTGAGGATTATTTATTGACACTGCAAAATATACATGTTTCACAACATGTTTGGAATAGAGAAGATGATAGGAGATTAATAGCACGACGTGCTGCTCCAACGCGCAATGGAATTGAGGGAGTTCCACATCAAATAGTTTCGTTATTAGAGCAAGCAGGATTTGGATGGATTGCTCGTTTGAGTTATATCAAAGTTAGTCCTGGTTTGTTAACTGCTTTGATCATAGTTTTAAAAACTGGACCGGTCATCGAACCGGTTAAGGTACTGGGTCAGTGGGTCAAAGGTTGAACCGGTGAGTCACTAGTTGAACCGCATGACTCGATTTTTATTTATTTTTATTAAAAAAATATATTAATACAAATTAAAAATATAAATAATATGTACATATATAATATGCTTGCAATTAATATCACAAAATAATATATGTAATATTTACATAGATATTATATTATTAAATATATAATTTAAAATTAATATTATACTATAAAAGTTATTTAAGTTGTATATATTGCAAACAAATATATTAGAACAAGTAGTCATTATTATATTTAATAAGACTCCTTGCTTTTCCATTAAGAGATTCAATTTTCATTATTATTTTTGTGATTTATGGTCCCTTAAAAAAATAAAAAAATATTAAAAAAAATGGTTGAACCGGTTTGACCCACCGGTTCACCGGTTGAACCGGAAAATTGACCGGTTCAATCCGGTTTGAAACGGGTCGACTGCATAAGCGATCCAACTTAAGATTCGGACCGGCCGGGTCGGTCCGGTTTTTAAATCATTGGCTTTGATAGAACGATGGGCTATAGCGACATCAATTATTTTTAATTTAAAAAATTTATTTTATACGTTTTTTTGTCTATGTTTTTTTTCAATTAATTCAAATAAATCTTCAAAACAAGAAAATATATTAAATATCAAATGCTGAAAAAACAAATAATCAAATATATATTATAAATAATTTATAATAAATAAATATTTTTTCTAAAAAAAAGAAGATAAAATGAAGTCGCTATAGCCTATAATGACATTGTGTCATTATAGGCCATAACGCCACTCACTTAAATATTTAAATACATCTAAACAAAAAAATTAAACTGAACCATAATTATATAAAATAAATAATATATGAAAACATATATAAATATAGAAATGACAAAAAAATAAAACAATATGTAAATATTTTTTAAATAAAATTAAACAAAAAAGGTGTCACTGCCTATAGCAACACCCATTTTTCCTTTTTTAAATTTCTGTTTTTTAATTACTTATTTTTTACCCAATTTATAATAAATTAACATATAAAATAAAATAAAAAATAAATAATTACAGAAAAATAAAATAAAATGTAAATATTTATAAATAAAAAAAAGTCAAACAACAATGGTGTCGCTGTCCATAGCGACACCAGTTTTAATTTTTTTTTCTTTTTTTTTAATTACGTATTTTTGGTTTACTATTTTTTAATTAACATATAAAAAAATTATTAATACACTTAGACAATAAAAAGAAATAAAATTACCTGAACCATAAATATATAAAATAAAATTTATATTAAACAAATATATAAATAATCTAATTATACAAAATGAGTGGCGCTATGGCCCATAGCGACACCAAGCCGCTATGGTCTATAGCGCCTCTCTTTAAAAAAATTTATAATTTTATTTAAAATTACATTTGTAAAAAACTTAATTTTATTTTTATAAATATATAATAAATATTTCAGTTTATTATTTTTTTTTACATTTCTATTATTTTCATTTTTTTTTATTTTTTTCTTACACAGTGTCGCTATGGACTACATTATTTTTGTTAGTCCATCAACTGTGCTGGCCCAGCCTATAGTGACACTGGTGTGGCTTATTCCAGCCCAACCTAAACAAAAAAAGGGCCACGTGTCACGGGTGTCGCTATGGACCATAGCGACACCGTTGTAAACAGCCCCAAAGGCGTAATTAGTTACAAAACAACCCCATTTACGTAATTTGTTTCTAAAACAGCTCCACTATGGTCAAAAAACCTAATAGGAAAGGTAGATAGTTTGCATGGTGTAAGAAGGCAAAACCACAAGCACTGATTTAGTTAAGATAACAACAAGTTTCGGGGTTTCCAACTACTTGGTTTACTATTGACTCTCTCCATAATTTCTTTATACATGTGTTTATTAACTCTTTTATGAATATTCAGAATGCAGAATGCACAAATATTTATTAAGATCCTTCGTTCTCTTTAAGTCAAAAGAAATGCGAAGTTCATCATGAACTTGCCGAGAAACATTCTTGAAAAATAATATTCTTATTTTATCATAACTCACCTACTGTCACAAGCTCTTACAAAAAAACTCAAGGCAAGTTTCAAGTTTGAATGATTTCTATGTGATCCAATAAAGCCTTCGCAAACAAGACCAAATCATTTGCAAAATCAAGATGGG